GATGAAATATCTTGTTTTTATGATTAGAAAAACTTTTTTTTAGAAAATAATTTAGAAGGTCTGTGGAATTTATATATCAAGGACCATTTATATACACTCCTTGTTTTTGAATATAAACTACAAAAAAAGAACAACCAACCACGTTTCATAAGATAAATGATGTATTTTATAAATATGTAAATATATATAATAAAATGCTTGTAATAAATACACTACACTTTATACTGATTGATTACATTCAACCTTATGAGAGTGAAGTTACTGAAACATAGGAGGAATGTAATTTACAGTATTATTGAGAAGTGGGGGATAGGATAAATGTCTATGAATTTGTAACACATCTACTTCTTAATGTTCAATATGTGTGTAATATCCAGCATTTTTTTGTTCATTTAATCAATGGATACCATTTATAAGAACTTAGTTTTTCAGTGCCGATTTCATTTCAATCTCTAACTTCCATTTGATTTGTTTTTTTTAGACATTCAAGTCTCTTCATTCGTGGTAAAATGTCAATCTTGTGGTTGATATTTTCATCCTTCAGGTATTTTAAAAATAAAGCGTGACTGTTATCTAATTTTATTGTCTTGTACTTGATATTGTTGCTTTGCATCAAAACTTCGAATGATTTATCTTATAGCTAATTATGAATAAGCACTGGTTACTATCAGGATGAGTGATTTGCGAAAATTATTTCACTTGAGGCATATTTCCCAAAATGGACTTATAAATTCTGTGTTCATCAGTATTTCTGCACTCCTTCTGCTGTGTGGAAACATGAAATAATATACTCTGTTTGGAAAAGTTAGAAAACATTTTTTTCATTTGTACAACTGTTTTAAAGGTAATTTACTGATATTTCTTGGCAGCAAAAACGAAGATTTCAGTAGAATATCATGACTTCGCCTTGTTCAGATCAAATCTCTGTATTTATTCTCTTCAAGAAATCTTTCATTAATTTTTCTCTTAATCCTTAATACTACTATTTTTTTCGTAAATCTTATAAGCTAAGCGATTAAACATAGTTTTTCATGTATTTAGGGTATTGCGAAGCGATCGATCTATGTGACAAATATTGTAACAAAGTTGGAACCAGGAAATGTGATGTTGTGCAAGACAGATATTTCTGTGTTTGTCGCGTAAGTTACTGCTATTATTAATTGAACACATAAACATTAGTACAAATGGGCACTAAAATATAAGTGCGCCACATAATAAAAATGAGATTGTGAAGTGATAGAGAAAGGATAGTGAGTATAATTTTAAAAAAGGAACCAAAATGAACGGAAATAAGTGTATGGGAGTGGAATAATAATAAAATGATAATGGTGATAAGTGTAAAAGCAGTTCAATTAAAAATACAACCAGAAAAGATTCTTTTAGTTAAGGAAGTTACTCTCACTTGTATGAAGAAAGAAAAAGAACAGTACAGCAGGATCTCCACTGGCTTCTATCCCGAGCCATATCTGAAATCTAGGTCATCTATTTCTAAAGAAAAATCCCTGCTGTTTAAAGGTTATTAGATTTATTAAAACGTTAAAGTGAAATTGAGACAATGTATTCGTATGTTATATACATTTAATATAATAACAAAATCATTACTCTGTAGTTTTATAGGCAGTTGCATTTTTCGTAAATTTGTTTGTTTGTATCATATGAAGCTTCTCTTTAAAGTCGATGATGATTACTACAAAATAGAGGATTATATTAACTTTTCATTTTATTGCTTGGAAGGAAAGAAGTGAACATTTATAACTCTCCAAAATCGTAAGTGTTTGAGAGAATGCAACTGTGATATCGACTAGTTAAAAGTAATTATCAGGAAGCCCTGTATAAATACGTTCCCTGTTAAATGAAATTCTTCACCAAGGCGTGTCGTGAGTCTCAATATATTTGCTCGTGAATATTATGGTAGATTACAAAGTTATTTCTCGATGAACAAGATATACAATACCATTTTGATGATTAGATTGTTTCACAACTTCCTATTAACGATCAAAATTATATCAAATTTATGTATGGCACTTTGACCTACTTATATAAGCATTCAGTAGTTCATTTTATTTTTAAAAATCGTATTTGTTTGTTGTGAACAACACAGGAAATAATAACTAAATTCAGATCATTATGATTTATTGTGAGATATTCACTATAAATTATGTGTATTAAACGAAACACATGAAATTAAAGCTTGTGAATGATAAAATTAACTGTAAAATCATACTTTTAAGTATTTTGTAGAGGTGCTCGGTATTCGTAGAAAAGATAAAAAGCATACATATTTAAATAAATCGCTTTATACACAAAATATAAAAACAATTTTTTAAATTATTTAAGATTTGAATACTTAAATTTTGGAACAAATAGCTAAGAGTCCACTATTAACTGTGATGAATCGATAACTGAACACTATATGTTGTAGAATTTTATGTATTAATCTCTAGCTGAAAATGATGTCTAAAAACAGGATAATTTCCATTTTCATTTTAGTGGACATAGATTTAAAATTTATGTTTCATGGGATTGTGATTTATTGACAATATTTTTGTTGAAAAACAACAAATTAATTCACCGTCTAAGAAGGGTCGATATTGATTATGTTGAGAGAAACTAGGATATATATATATATATATACTTACTTACTTACTTACTTACTTACTTGCATATTTACTTACTTACTTACTTACCTACTTACTTACTTACTTACTTACTTACTTACTTACTTACTTACTTACTTACTTACTTACTTACTTACTTACTTACTTACTTACTTACTTACTTACTTACTTACTTACTTACTTACTTACTTACTTACTTACTTACTTACTTACTTACTTACTTACTTACTTACTTACTTACTTACTTACTTACTTACTTACTTACTTACTTACTTATTTACTTACTTACTTACTTACTTACTTACTCCTGTTGCTCCTAATAGAGCATAGGCTGCCGACCAGCATTCTCCAACCCATTCTGTCCTGTGCCTTCTTTTCTAGTTCCATCCAATTCTTGTTCATTTTTCTCATGTCTATTTCCATTTACCGGCGTAATGTGTTCTTTGGTCTTCTACCTTTCCTTTAGCCTTGAGGATTCCATATGAGGGCTTGCCTTGTGACGCAGTTGGGTGCTTTCCTCAATGTGTGTCCTATCCACTTCCAGCGCTTCTTCCTAATTTCTTCCTCCGCTGGGATCTGATTTGTTCTCTCCCACAGTTGGTTATTGCTAATAGTGTCCGGCCAACTGATCTGGAGTGTATATATATATATATATATATATATATATATATATATATATATATATATATATATATATATATATATATATATATATATATATATATATATATATATTAGTCAGTAGTTTGGTAACTGTCCCCTATTTCAAAATCAGGCATAAATTCAATTGAATTCCCTTTATTATTCACATTTCTATACAGTCCATTATATTTTGACTTTTTTTACTTAGGGATTTTAAATGATCAGTAGTACGGTAAATAGATTTTCTCATATTCATTACAATAATGAAAAAGAATGGGATATACAGTTAGCTTGAACATTAACTTATATTGTAAAATAAAATAGGAGAGAATCACGTTTTATAAAAAAGTACATTAGTAAATATGATTACATTAAGGAACCACAACTAAATCACATGAGTATAACCTTTCGTACTAATTATCTATTCTTTAGAGCCTACAAATATATTAACTTGGATAATATGATAAAATGTGATGTAAATTCAGAATTTTTTTTCACAAATTAACATCATGCGAAACACTCATGGAATATGTAAACTACTGAATATCTATTTCATCCCCGATTTAGAGAGCACTTAATGTATTATTTGGGATTGAAGAAACGATGTCTAAAACTTATGGCCTCCATTTTATTTTTTCCAACGCTCATGTTCCAATTCAGCAATTTTCATTTTCAGATTTTATTCCATCACCATTATAACGCAAATAATATGGATGGTTATTTTTAGATATCCGTATAACTCCTGACCCATTTGATACTATTATTCACCCTCTCTCTCTCTCTCGCTGAAAAATTCAGGTATTCATTCTGAGGAATTGTTACTAAACACTATACTCTTTATACATAGTTTCAGTATGGGTGAGCTTTAGGAGTACGAAAAAGCTAAACTTTCACAAACCTTGTCAGTTTTCTATGAATGAGTGAGTTTGTTTCGATCAAATAAACCTGTGTTGACAAGGTATCCAAGTAATTAGCTTCTTACAGATCTACTGATGCCTATTTTCAAACTTGCAGGATAATTTACTCAAACTCTCTTGGATAGCACACTCATTTAACAACCGATATACCCAATTCTACAGCAGAAGGTGAACTAATCAATGTATACTGAAGCTCCTAGATGCGAAATCTAAGTTATTGTTAAGCTTAGGTATAATACAAAACACTGATCTCAAAGTTTATACGAAGAAAGTCCTCTTGAGGAGATCTGGAATTCTTTTCTTTAAGTTGTCCTCAGTTATGTTACTCTAGAAATCGAAGTTCAGGTAAAGTTTTCTCTTTGTCGTTGAGGTTGGTTTGAAACTTATATTCTTACCAATGAATTTTGGCGGATATTCACTTGCAGTCAGTATTTTTCTCGGGAGAGTTAACTCATCACTGATAGCATCACAGAGAAAAAGTTCCTCAGATTCGTGTTATTTAAGATACAAAATATTTCTCCCTACGAACAGCGACTCAAGTATAGAAGCTTGGGATCTGTAAACTACATGAAGGTAGATAGATCTTAGGAGTCTATCATGTTTGTCATTTTAACAACAAGGAAGATGGCTTTTAGTCTGTTATCCACTATTAGAATACGTTTTACTGTAAGGTGGGCATTGTTGAAAATCTGCAGACTTTGATTCATATTGCACTTTTTATCATCCATATAAAATTTATCATCTCCATTGTTTGCAATTAGTATTACGGTTGGTCTAATCATAAGTGTAACATCTCCAATGATGTTGAATAGTGATAATAAATGAACTACTGAATTCATATTTACAATACCATATGCATCGTCTCGTTAAAAACCTGATTTTTGATTCAGCATTTAACTTCCCATCAATTATTTTGTATTTGTATTAAAAAACTCATATCCTAGAATTTTAAAATGTTTTCTTTTCTAGCCTACTCATATGGGTTTAAACTGCGACTACCAACGTGATCCATGTGTGGAACTAGCTTCTAATGTTCATATGGGAGGAAATATGGCATGTAACGTTGCAAATGGTGGTATATGCAGAGGAACTTTAGGGACAAACACATATCACTGCCAGTTAGTTCAATCAAATTCATAGGTTTTTATTTATTTATGTAAGGAGCAGTTTTACTGTTGACTGTTCCAGACAATTCAATGATGCGTAACCTAACTAAAAACTTGCAGTTTTACAGAATACAACCAAAGTCAAACTGAAAGATTGTGGATATATGGCAAAGAATGTAATTTTACGACTGAGTGGACTAAAATTACTACTAAATTATGACGGTTTTTTACAGCTATATTTCGTCATGAATTAAACAGTTTTGTAGTTCACAACACAGCGTAACAAATTTTTGGCAAAAATGGTACATGTAACTTCCGGAAATGAATCCTGTAATGGGGATTCATGATCGTTGATAACCTTCTTGGTCCTAACGGATTTAAATATCTGAAGACTTTCAGTTAAATATTCTGTTCACTTCCCAGCACACTATTCTTATGACGTTTCTATGATCCTGTAGACAGCCAACCTAGTAGCTTGATGTTCGTCTACGATTATATACACAGTTACTTCCGACCATCATTGTTTTTTTTCTTTGTTTATATTACGGGTACAATGTTTGGAAGAGCATGGTATCAGCAACGTTTAATCCTGCTGTACCAAGTTATTTCGAAAGTATGATTATATCATTTTTAGGATTATCAGTAGATGTATATGATTGATTCATTGCCATATGCACGAGGAAATATATATTAATGGGCTTTTAAACAGTTAGTGCTACCGAATGGGATATTTCCATATGAAAACCAAAGTTTTTAATAACATAATTTGTTATTCGAGCATTCCCGGTTTTTTATTGTGATTTTTTTCTGATTTTTTAATTGAAGAATAAAATCAGATACCGCTACAACAGGAAAAACTGAGAAGTCATTGGTTGTATCATGACCTTGACCTCGATACTTGATGAATCTCTTATTATATGTTGATTGATTTATAGCCATACTGAACGCTAAATTTCTGTCAAACTATTCGTTCTAATATCAATGAATATTCGTATAAGCCATACTCATTTGTTTGAGTATTATGTACCTATAAGGCCACTCTAATTCTCAATTTCTGTATTCCGTCCGTGTTTATAATTTTAATAACCAATGGGTTGGGATTCAGTGGACAGTCCTATGAGTGGATTATCAGATCACCTTTAATCACCGAATCAGTTGTTTCTTGAAGTTAGTTTCTCTGATTCCACAGAAAGTTAGGTCTTGAAGCGATACCAGTTTCAGTGTTTATTCAAAGTCCCTTGATTAGTTGTTGATTATTTCATAAATTTCATGTAACTATTGTCACTGATTCGAAAAAAATTTACGTTTATGCATTAATCATAATGCAATAATTTTATTTATGTGCATCATTTTAAAACAGTATAGCCAGCTATAAGAAATGCAGAACCTGGCAGATTTGCACATCAACTCAAGTTCCTATAACAGTAGATGAATAAACTTGGGGGAAAATATCATAACGTAACTCTGAAAGTTGACAGAGTCGATGTATCTGCGACATTATAGTTTGAAAAAAACGTAAGTCATAGATAAAAAATTTCAGAAAAGCAAAATTTTCCATTTTGAGAAAGACAAATAGAGGGAACTATATCTTTCCAATTATTTTATCATTATAGCTCTATACTAATATATATTTAACTGTAACAGTAAAATGTATACCACTCAGATGATGGTGCATCATATAATATTAAAACGTTCCTTGTTGAGTTAAATATGATGTCGGGGTAGAGTTGGTTTTTTCCAGGCTTAATTGTTTATAGACGAAATTTTCGAAGTGAGTGTAAGCCAACATTATTAATACACTGTTCTTTAAAATACTCAGAACCTGAACAATCGCAATTGAGTACATTAAGTTGTTTCATACTACATTGAATTACTTATATGATGAATTTATATTCATACACACTAAAGTACTAAGTCATAACTGTTTTTCCAGGTGTCCAGGATCATTTACCAGTGATCCATCTTATCCTTTCCCAAATTGTTTACAAATTAAAGATCGATGTGCCAGTACAATATGCATTCATGGTGACTGTGTTAGTTCAAAAGATGGACAAGTAAGAAAATAAAAACGTTATTTATTATTCATGGATTATATATATATATGGGTCAGTTAGCAACTGACACTTGTGATAATAAGTATCTTAGATAAAACTATTACGTCACATAAATCTATATGGAAAACGGTATGCTACACTCACTTTTTATTAAATAACATGTATGTTTTTACCATCTGGAAGTTTGTAGTTTAGAAAATATTTGACAGATATTTTTGATGAAATGTTAAATTATTTTCCTCTCACGATACTTTAACTGCTCGTATTCAGATTACCAAATAATTCTCCATTCATGTGACTGGATCAGTATTATGATCATAAGTGATAATATAGATTAAAGGAAACCTTCAGTATTATAAACCTTACTCTCGGGTAATTTTACTATTCTCCTATGTATCAAAGAATATTCATTTTCAGAATGGGTTTTGTGGAGATTTTTAACAATTTCACGGGTTGAAATCATGAGTCAATTATTATATATAGACATTAACACCATTGGATGCCGGCTCAGTGGTCTAGTGGCTAAGTGCTCGCGCGCAAAACCAGTAGGCCCTGGGTTCGAACCCTGAGGGGTGCGGGATCGTGGATGCGCGCTGCTGAGGAGTCCCGTACTAGGACGAAACGGTCTTCCAGTGCTCCCAGGTCTTTCATGGTGGTCTAGCTTCAACTGATTCATGATTTCAACCTGTGGAATATTGATTTCTCATCACTTTTATCCTTCGAATGAATGCACTCGTTAAAGAATAATAGGTTTCGATTGAATGTTTAGTATTCAATTTGTGAATTTAAATCTTAAATAAAATGGGTCATTTGTTTTAGCCCATTTCAAACTACTTAAGTAGTTTCATCCCAGTCGTGTTCACTGACTTATTGAATACAATACTTTGGATTCATGTGTATGTGTTGGTATTGAGTTGTATTCATTGGACTGTATGCTTCAGTAACTGTAAATGTAAACGTATATTGACAATAAATAATAGACAAATAAAACAGAACTTTCGATTGTATCACATTTTGTCTTCTCGAAACCGGATCCGATAAATTAAGTATATAAATCAAAAAAGAATTAATCACAGTTACTTCAATAATTCTCTAAGTGATCTATAACATTTGTTAAAAAATGTTTAGAAAGTTTATTGGAGCTTCGACCGGGAATGACAGCGTGAAATTAGTCCATTTGTATAGGGAATTATTTGACATCTTCCGAAACTTGACCACTATGGATACCAATTCCAATCGGCTGGAGATGACTTTACATGCTGTTCATCAATTTCAAAAAGGCAACTTCAAATAAATTCTATTTATGGTTGATTCTGGTTAATTTTTTGAGAATTATTTAATTTACTAGCAATTTATCACAACAAAATTTAGTTGACTTAAGTAAATGAAAATTACAAATATTTATTTTTTGTATTATTACTTAATTCCAGGAAAGTTATTGTATTTGTCCTGAAGGAACATATGGAACATATTGTGAATTAACACGTGGACAATGGGGTCAATGGTCACCATGGTCTGAATGTTCACCAAATTGTGGACTTTATAATCACCGAAGGCGTATACGTACACGTGACTGTTTAGGTGAGGCATGTAGCGGTGGTTTAGGTTATTTACATATGGAATTCTGCGATCCAAAACCTTGTTCAGATGAGAAACTGATGTTAAATAGAATGAATTCGTCAGAAGAAATCCAAAAATTGAAAATGTTACAAGTACAAGGAACACGTTATGTAGAAATATCAGGTGAGATTGCTAAATACCTATTATTAATAACTTGTATCTTTTCTGTAACTACAGTGACAGCTATGATAATAGTTGTATACTGTTTATAAAATTCTAATAATGACACAGCTTACTTAACATACATAATTCATGTTGAATATAAACTATTATTGTGTTTATTTTATTAAGAAATACTGAATGATGAAGAATATTTACCTCTGAGAACTGTAGATGATCGAGGTGCAGGAAAATTAGTCATATGAATAAACTGGTAAATAAGTTTTTTATGAAGAAGTATATAATAATATCAGGACTGAAATGTTTGGAAAATATAAAGAACTAATGCATTTGTGCTAATATCAACGATTTCGAGCAACGTCATGTAAGCCTTCCAACAAGGGGGTACAATAGTCATGTGAACGTTAACAGGGAAATCTACACATGACATAAATTAGACGAATAATCAAAGATTTTATGAAAATGTAACGTCTTGGTTTGGCTGCATTTAGTCTCATCCTAACCTGCCTTCTATTGAGGGTGGCATTAATTTTTCCGAGACATCCTTGGTTGGCCTATTATATCAATACTCAAATCGGCTAATATGTCCAACGTCATAGGGGAGTTTCTGGTGATCTTTCCTACACACCCTCTTTTGGTATTTTTTAAATGGTTAGCGTACCATCTCTATATCATACTCTCCACTTTGACTTCGTAAATAACATGTCCTCACCTGACTGCAATAATCTCCGGTGTCTAAGTTGGGTTTGGACTATGTATATCACATATCATCGCTGGTTGTCCAATTGTGAATTTTCTAGGTAATGCTCTGCACAATTTACCTTATCGATCCGCTATTTTTCTGTTCAGCTTAGAAATAGTCTTACAGATCATCTCGAGATATTCTAGTCTTTCTTCCAAACGTGACTTCCATTAAAGAAACTTAATCATTAACTGAATGATTGGATATTGAAAGTTGAGTGGAAACGTTTGCAGTATTTCTTCGACTCTTCCTTCCCCAAGCACTTTGATAAGTGTTCTTTTAAATGTACCCACGAATTTTCGAACCTGACCATTTAATTGAGAATGTTTAAGGAGAGTTCTGACATGTTTATCTGTATTTAACAAACCAAGTTTGGAAAATTCTGATTAGCAAAACCGAGGTTCACTTTCCTCACATCAACACTTTAGGAAAGCCAAAGCAACTAAATATTTGCTGTAATTTATCGAACTTAAAGTTCGTTGAAATAGACTCGATACAATGAGTTTAAGGTCACTACGTAAATGCGCCAACGGCCACAGAAGAATTTTTGCTTCTAACAATACCGGAAAAGCCAACATATATTCTAGGCCATAGATAAGCATAAGTTTCCAAACAATAAGATTCAATTTTTCGTGGAGGTCTGACTGCGTTTGAATATGCAGAATATTTTATTACACAACCTCCAATCTGACGAGCATCTGCTCCACGTAATACCGCGGCTACATTGGGAGCGGATGGAGATTTAAATCATTTACTGAACATACTGTATTCGATAGAACATAGAATGTATTCAGGCTCCTAATCCAACCAATACCAATGAGATCTAAATCATATCTATTTACTAAATAGTAAGTTCCAGTAAAATAACTTTCACTGAATTGAACAGTGCATTTAATCACCACAACAAGTTTAGGTATATCACCAGGGATCTAAAATGTACGGTCTGTCAGTAATAAAGATAGGTAACCTATAAACTAACAGATTTCTTCGAAATAAATATAAAGTTCACATACATACTCACTTGTGGTCGGTCATGAATGACTTTTGCTAGTAAAGTCACAAACCATTTTTTGTCTGATATGTTGAGTAGAAATGTTGCATACATATTGAGTATGTAGCTTTTTCGACTAAGGTAAAAAATCTTTCGTGATCCTGGATTCAAATGATAACTTGTACGCCAAATAACTTCTTTATGAAAATGGTCCACATTCGAACCCTGATTTGAGCGAAAAGATCTCATGTAGAGTATATTGATACTGATGAAGGGAAACTGAAATTGTAGTTTTAATCTGTGTACACACAGATTCATCAAATGCTTCTTTTTAACGTTTATTCAGGATTAGTTGAATAGTGCTTAAAGCACGTGAATTCCGGTTATTGGGTTATGCGTTTGGATTTTAATGCATCTACCTAGGTTTAGACAGCTAGACAGTATTGTAAAACACGACAGTAGGAATGTATGTTTATAGCAAGTTACAAAGTTTACATAGTAGATATACATAGCCTTCAACCGTCCATTTGTATCTTCCGATGTGTTATACAATTTGAATTGTCTTCTCGACTGGCCAACACCGTGCTTTCAATATACTGAAACTCTCCACTCTGTCCGACAACTGTTGCATCTCCGACACCACGTTCCGCTACACACTACTTACAAACATCCTTATGAGCGGAATTCACTACAGTACCAATAGCCATTACGTAGAGTGGCTAGAATATGAATAAATAACCCTGTACATGGTAAATCAATCGCACTAAAATTCGATTTAGGCATATTCGTACTGACTGACGAACCAGTGGATAATCATATTTCAAGTGGTTAATATTAAGAATTTTAAATTTTACAAAAAAACCTTATGAATTCGATAGATTTTAAGATTTTATATTCACATTTGAATATTCCTCAGTAAGCGCTAAAGCTAATCGAAAACGATAACTGGAATCCTAGTAAGAATATAATACAAAGATTTGCATTCCACATAAGATGAATACCATATATATTCAAACGAGCAATTTCTAAATAACTATGTACCCCAAAAGTAAATTAATTAAAAATATGACATCAACGTATTTGAACAGCAGTCTGATCTTGTTCGAAAACATAATAATATAAAATTTAGGAAAGAAAATAGCTTTGAAAAGAACCTGAGGAAATATCTCAGACTATCGTCGCTAAATGCCTTGAAGAAATTCATTTGATAGATCATTGTTCACACTATTAACAATACTAACTAATTCTGTACAGAAAGTAATATAAACAAGTTACAGTTTATTTGATAAGTGTGGATTATAATTACAATTATCCTGAATATACATGTTCAAGATGATTATGTAGTAATCGCACTCCCGTTTTCTACACATTCTTTGAATTATCAACTCGATCATCCTCTCCGCATTCAACACGAACAAAGTCTTCAAGGACCATTTCATTCCGTGATAAATGTTCGCCCACACATATAGTTTCATCTAATAGAAAGGGTTGTAGCAGAAGAGATTTCTCTTCTTCCGGATCGGCAGCTGGATTTTCAACAGATTCTAATCCAGGATTTGGATTCATGCCAACAATATGCTGACAAACTTGTCTCCCCAAACGTGAAGCTCGTTCATACCATGGATCATTGGCAGGCTGACATAAAATAAAAAAACATAGTGAAAGGGTTAGAAGTGTTAAATATTCAGTATGGTAAGATATATATAATGAAAAGAAACAGCCCATCGTCGTGAAGTTTCGGATGTCAGATAATTCTTCATAAATAATCTACTGAGTTACCAAGTTTTACAATAGGGGATGAAATGATTGATTAATTATTCAAGAAGCTGTATTATCTTTAACGTCATATCGGGTTCTGAGATAACTGTTTAGGTAAACGAAGTCCGTGTTTCTCGCCGAAATTACACATACACCAATCAACATTCAATGGCTAGTGCTGTATGAGTAATATTTATTATTTATTTATTTGAACACATAAAATTGGTACAAGGGGGCACCAAATATATATGCGCCACACAAAACAATGAGAATTCGAAGAGAAAAAAGAAGGTAAGGAGCGTAAAAAAAGAACAATAACGAACAGATCAGTGTAAGATAGTGTAATAATAATAATAATAATAATAATAATAATAATAATAATAATAATAATAATAATAATAATAATAAAAATAATAATAAATAATAATAATAATAATAATAATAATAATGGGGGAAACGGAAAGGTACAATCAGAAGAAATCTGAAGGAATAAACAACAGTTAAGGAAAAAACAACCGTTTTCTATGAAGAAAGTAAAAGGTTACAGTAGGATTGCCACTGGCTTCTATTCTGAACCATATCTGATAACGTCTCTAACCGCTGTGCTGCACCATCTCTAGGACCCCAGCCAGGGAGTCATGAAGGACCAACAGAAGCCAGCCCTTTGCAGCTTTCTTTCATACCACGACACCATGTCATATTTTAGACGTCAACATAATGATCATATTTATCAAGGAATCATCTCAAGTACAATGTTGTTGGTTAGCTTCCTCATATTCTAAAATTAAAAACTAAGACCAAGTTATTTATGTTGCTTAGGATGTAAATTCCTGGTTTGATTTTTAAACAAATGGAATTAATCAACTGCATTTTCGAAAGAACAATAAAGTGCTAATATCTGTATTTCATTTTCTATTGTTGTGGTGAGTTCTGATGAAAAATTAGGTAGTGTCTCCAGAATTGTGTGAATAAAAATCAAAATAATAGACAGCTACATGTAATTTTATCTAGAACGTTGAAATTCATATCCAACATTTTTTTAAGAGCTTTGATTCTACATGAAACGAAAATGTCGGAGAACAATAAGAAGCTTTACATATGACACAAAAAGTAGTTAGGATCCTCACTACATTGTTTTCTGACAGATTGTACAGCTTTTGAATTAGAATAAGCCATTCCTTTCCTGGAAATATAAAAATATTTCACACACAAAACGTATCTCTAAATCCGTTTTTGCAAGCGTAAAGTGATATAAGTAATGGGTTCTATCGAAAAATCTGACACTTAAGTTTTTACTAAATGAAAAAAGCTTGTAGTGTTTAGAATTAAGTTAGGATGATGATCATGTAAAAATCAACTAGTTCAGAAAGCATTCCAAAGTATGTAAAATATTAGTTGACGTTTCATGCTTCAATATGGCTCACGATGATCACAAGCTGAGTCGCAAATAAAAACTAGACTTACTTTGTCATTCAATGGTCTATAGCGAATGATAGCAGCATACTTTCCAAAGCGGACATCTCGTATCCCTTGTAATATACTCTCTGAGCTCGTGTGTGAATAAATAGCCAGACAACTTGTGCTAGTGTTATCAGGGACACAAAGTCCGACAGCTCTTTTTAGTCGAATACTTTCACCAATAGATCCTATGGCTGCAACCGTAATATCTT